TCTTCTTTTTCTTTTTTTTTTTTTAGCTTTTTGCTTTTTCGTGAGGCAATAGGGGTTAAGTGACTTGCCCAGGATCACACAGCTAGTAAGTGTCAAGTGTCTGAGGCCGGATTTGAACTCAGGTCCTCCTCCCAGTGTTCTTAATGAGTCAGCCTTGCCACGGGAAACGTTTGTACTAAGGAGATGGAATCCTCCATGCCTACAAGCTGAAAATGGTTATTTTTTATAGTAACTAGGAGTGAATATTCCTGGAAAGGCAAAACCTGCCTCCCAAGAGATGAACTCAAAGGACGTGAACAAATAATTCTCAAATGAAAAAATGCCTAGTAGCAGTGACCACAAGCACAAAAAAACCCCCAAAACATTCCAAGTAATTTCTCCAAGAGAAATGTAAATTAATGGGACAGGGAGGTTTTACCACATACTCATCAAATTCCCAAAAATGATAAAAAAAATGAAGAGGTGTTGGAGGAACTAGGGGAAGCTAGGTGTACTAACGCACTGTGGGTAGAACTGAGAACAGCCACCCTGGAAAACAATGTGGAGTCAGCAGAGGGGTGTCCCTGCATGCTCACCTCGAGTACAGTCAAGTCAACAAGCATTTATTAAGCGCTTACTGTGTGCTAGACGCTGAGCTAAACAACAAAAGTCAGACAGCCAGCCCCTCATGGAGCGCCTGTGCTAACTGGGTGGACGACCCGGGGTGATGCCTTCCAGACAGGACCCAGGATGCGTTGGAGGGGGCTCAGAGGGAGAGCCGAGCAGGGCGGAGAACGAGAAAAGCTCCCAGTGAAGGAAGCCAGGAGCCTTGAAGCGCCTCCTCTCTCGGGTGAATATCATCTCTCAAGCACCAAGGCTCGGCGGAGTCTGGCTGTGGTTTTCACAAACTCTCTCAAAGTGGTAAACCGGGTGTCTCCCGCTCTGCTGCCAGATGGGGATGGGGAGGAAAGAAATGGGCAGCAAGCTGGAGCCGTAGTGCACAGGGTGCTGGGCCTGGAGTCAGGGAGACTCCAAGGAGGCCTCAGGTACTTAGTAGCTGGGTGACCCTGGGCAAGTCACTTCACCCTGTGTGCCTCAGTTTCCTCATCAATCAAATGAGCTAGAGATGGAAATGGCAAACCACTCCAGTCTCTTTGCAAAAAAAAAAAAATGGAGTCAGAAAGAGTCAGACACATCTGAAATGACTGGGCAACAAAAGGAGAGAGTCACCTTCCCAGGGCGTTCTAAGATTTTGGCGGATGGATACTAGCGCAGCCCTCAGGCTGATCACCCTCACTCCCAGGGCTTTCTCTCTATTTTTAATTTTTTGTTGTTGTTCAGTCATCTCAATCGTCCAACACTTCATGACCCTTTTCAGGGTTTTCTTGGCAAAGATACTGAAGTGGTTTGCCATTTCCTTCTCCAGTTCATTTTACAGATGAGTAAACCAAGGAAGACAGGGTGAAGTGACTTGCCCAGCGTCTCACAGCTAGGAAGTGTCTGAGGCTGGATTTGAACTCAGGTCTTCCTGACGTCAGGCCCGGTGCTGTATACTGAGCCCCCACCTTCCTGTTGGCTTGTTGATTTTTTTTTTTACATTTTATCTTAAAATAATTTTAAATTTTTGTTATTTTAAATGTGACAAATACTAAAACATGAATACTTTCATACGCAAAAAAAACAGGAAAAACAAAGTATTGCCAATAAGATGGAGAATTTCCATTATGTTCAGCTTCTTTTTTTAAAAGGGAGGGATGGCAAGGGAGACGGATTTATTGAGCACCTGTTATGTGGCAGGTACTGTCCTACGTGCTTCACAAATCATTTGATTTAACATATATGATAAATACAAGTAAATTTCAAAGCAGTCTTGCTTGTTCATGTCTGCCTCTGAACTTCTATGTCCTTTCTAAAGCATTTCAATGACCCTCTTTTCTTTTTTCTTTTTTTTTTTTAAGCATCATATCCCTAGCCTTCCTCCCCTTTCCCCACTTTTTTTTTTTAAAGCAAACTTTCCTTTGTTTAAAACCAGTGAGCAAATCCACACTCTGGGCTTATCTGATGATATCCGACTCATTCTCGCCTCTGATCAATCACCTTTCCATCAGAAGATGGGCAGTGGGCTTCAGTGGTCCTCTAGAGTTGTGGCTGGTTATTGAATGGATCAGAGTCCTTGCGTCTTTCAAAGCTGGTTTGCTTTCTCATGTTGTCATAGCATCCGTTGTTCTCTCAGTTCTGCTCACTTCATTCTGCATCAGTTCACTGAAATCTTCCCACATTTCTCCGATCCATCCTTTTTTGCTAGTTCTTAAGGCACAGTAATATCCTTCCCTCTCAAGGTAAAAAATTGACCCTCTTTCTTTAATGATCAGGCATATCCTCAACCGTGTCCCCTTCTGGTCCTGAGTCCTTGCTGGTAACAAGCTGCTTTTACCTAACCCAGACTTCTCCATGGTCTTTCACCCAGGTCTCCCACAGGCCTGGTCCTTCTGGAGTCTTGGTGCTCCATGGTGCCAAGCCATAGAGGGTGAATAACAGTGTTTGAAGATAGGGGCTTTGGCAGTCAGGAGACGCTTGCCTTCACTGAAATCACTGTGCAGCCTCCCAAAGGCAGTCAAGCCTTCTCTGTTCCACTTATTCAACTCTGGATCCAGCTCAGTGTCCATCCTCCATGTCTGTCCAGAATTTATGAGCTGATGGACCAGCTCTATGGGCCGACACCACATGTGAGTCTGGACAATAGGCATTTTTTCATCCACTTGGATACATGTGTGGATTGCTGTGCAAGTCTCATCTGAATGGCTACATATCTGACTGAGACGACCTTAAAGTGTTATCAAGTTATCAAATTATTGTTTTAAGGCTTTACAAAGCCGTTGCCTCACAACAGCCCTGCCAGGTAGGTGACGCAGGTGGTACAAGTTCCCTCATTTAACATATGAGAAAACTGAATGTTTGAGAGGCAACATGACTTATCCATGGGCATACTGCTAAATGACTGGGGTGGGATTTGAATTCAAGCATCCTGCATCCTGCATCCTGGCACTAGATAAGCAACACTGTCATCCAGGTTTGGGAATATTGGAGATTTTTATCACCTTCTCCACTCCCCATCCCCATTCCCCATTTACCGTGTGTGTATTCACTTGCTTATTTGTGTCATGTTGTCTCCTTATGACCTCTAGATTAGAATCTGTTTGAGGCCAGGGGCTGTTTCTTTTTTGTCTCAGCACACAAGGCAGTAATAGGCACATAGCAAATGCTTTGAAATGCTTGATGATTGATTGATTTGTAACAGCCGGTTACAATTGCTAGCTTATTTAAACCTTAGGGTATGTGGGGGGAGAGATAGGATGGCCCCCAAGGTCCATGTGGATCCCTGCTCTTTGGCTTTAGAGATTTTATCTTAGACAAACAATCATGAGTTCTCATTGCTCTGAACCCCTAGTTAGAAAAATCTCTAATACTTAGGCAGAGGTTGGGCTCTCTTCCTAACTTAATATTTATATCTATCTCTAGTTAACTTCTGGCATCTTGGTGATTGAAGTAAAATTCTGCCTTACTAAAAATGTTTGGGCAATGAAACAGTAGATTATATTACGATGTCTGTAGATAGATGGATACTGGGAAAGGAAGTCAGGGAAAATATCAAGATTTTTTTGGAATTTCCCTCAGCCTGGGTCCTCTGCTCCAAGATGCCTGATGGTGCTGTCCCACCACATCTCAGTCCTCTCTTTGGCCCTCAGGGATGTGCTGGAATGCCAAGTTTGCTCCATCCTCTGGAATCCAGAACCTCACAATCTGTCCCTCTGGTTGTGAGGTACTCCATTTTACTGGATGCAAATTCCTTCGGGCATAACCAAGCCTTTCATACAATGACTGATTCAGGTAGGTGTATGGGCCCTGTTCCTGGTAGATTCCATGTTTTTACTTTTTTTTTTTTTTTTTTTTTTTACTAAATTACTTTTAAGTGGGTCAAACATTGTAGCTCCAGCCTTACAGATCTATAAGGAATTCATCCTCCTTTTGGACTCTGCTTGGGACCTTCTTATGAGACAGGTGTCCAAGTTCAAGCCTGGGAGAGTCTTTGTAAAGGCATCCGGAGGGATGGAGACGCCCCTCTTCACCCTAACTCTTAGGATCCTTCAAGGCTTACTTAGGTGCTGCCTCTGAATGAATGAGAGAGTAAATACAGTGGTGGGGAAAAGAGGGGAAAGAGAGGCCAAAGAATGTAGAAGGGCTATTACACACACACACACACACACACACACACACACACACACACACACACACTTGTGTGACCTCATGCTAGTTACAAACGTTTTTGGAATGAGAGGGTTGGGGCCAGATGACTTCAAGATTCTCATGGCAGGTCTCATCGCCAAAGAGCCCTGGATTTGGAACCTGGCTCTGTCCGTTCCTCTGTCTGGGCTCCTGCTTTCTCTCCCGCTGGGCAGGACAAAGGGCTCGGACTGTGAGGGCATCTCTCCAGGCGCAGCCTCAGATAAGGCGGCGCCAGGTGAGTCTCTGGGCCCGAGTAGGGCCAGAGAGGGTGGAAGGGGGAGGCTGGCCGCAGCAGGTGAATCTGGCCGCTGCGCTTCTCTCCGATGGGCGCCAGGCGTCGCCCCCACTCCTCGGGCCGGCCGGCCACCCCGCCCGCCGGCCTCCGAGCCACTCCAGGAGGGGGAGACGACGGGGACGGGAAGGAGAAGACCGCGGGGGGAGGGGAGGAGGGAGGAGGGAAGAGGGAGGAGGGAGGGGGAGGGGGAGGGGGAGGGGGGGGGGGGAGCCAGTCCACATTTCCTGCGTCTTCCGACTCGCTCGCTCTCTAGCAGGCACTGAAGGGAAGGAGAGTGAGAAGGCAGGAGGCCGGAGTCGAACACAGCTGGCCAGCTGCAGCCGGCCCCCCGGGTGTGTGCATGCTCCTCGCTGCGCCGGTGCCCTCCCTGAGGCCACGGGCGGCCTGGGGCTGAGCCGGCCGGCCTGGGGGGAGCCGGCGGCACCGGCGCGGCGGCGGGAGATGCGCAGCGGCCGCGCTCCGCTGTACGAGGAGCAGCCCGACTGGACGCAGGGCCCCGAGGTAAGAGGAGGGGGCCGGGATGCGCTGGGAGAATGGGGGGAGGGGTCCCGGGGCGAGGGCGGGGGCCAGCCAGGCTGTCCGGAGTCCCTCCTGACGGACCAGCTGATGGACAATGGCACTGATGCTCGGGCCCGGGAGCCCGCCCCCGGTGCCGGGGGCCCCTGTACCCCGACCCGCACCCGCGCGCAACTTCCTGCGCTCGTTCAGCCAGAAGAAGCGGCTGCCTCCGCCGCCTCCCCCCAGCCGCCGCCGTTTGTGTGGTTGTGGTGGTTGTTGTTGTGTGTGTGTGTGTGTGTGTGTGTGTGTGTGTGTATGGGGGGGTGCTTTTGCTCGCGTGGGTTTGCGTGCGCCATCGCTGTTGAGCATTGTGCGCCTGTCCGTGTGTTTGTGCGCTCCGGTGTGTGTGTGTGTGTGTGTGTGTGGTGTGTGTGTGTGAGTGTGGTGTGTGTGCATGCAGAGTGTGTGTGCGCGCGCGCTCGGGAGCCATGGGAGGGGGCGTGTGGGTGCGCTTGTATCTGTGTATTGTGTGGCTGTGCCCAAGGGTGCGTGGGCTCGTGTGTTTCGGTGTGTGTGTGGGTGCCAGCCTGCGTGAGTGTACGCTTACATATGTGTGTATCATGCGTGTGTATGGTGCATGTGTTCATTTGCACTTGTGTGGGCTTGTCTACGAGTGTGTGTGTGTGTGTGTGCGTGGAGGAGGCCCTGCCCGCGCGCGTGGGTGGCCGGGCTCCCACGAGCTTGGGGAGAAAGTGCGGACTGGCCGCCGAGCCCGAAGTCCCGGGTTGGGGGCAGGCAGCGCCGGACCTGCCTTGGCAGCCCTCTCCCCTCCTCAGTTGCAGAAAGGGGGCGTGGGCACAGCTGGCACACACCCACCTACCCACAGACACACGCACACCCCCACAAACACCCATACCCACACACTTGCATCCCTCAGCCAAAGTTGGGAGCCGGAAGCCCAGCCCGGCCCGGCCCGGCCCGGCCTGTGCCTTGCCCTCTCCTCGCCCCCCACCTTTGGGCGGACGGGGGGAGGAGGGAGGGGGGTGTTCTCCTGGTCTGGAGCCGCCCCCCATCGGGGTGGGGGGCATAGGGGTCACCCATATGCTGATGAGAAGAGGGTCGGGATCAGCCTGGAAACTGTCAGAGGTGACCTAAATTCCTTTCAGACACTAATCGTCTTGTTATTTTAAAAAAAAAAAAAAAAAAAAAGATAATTCTGGAGAAGTTGAAAACCCACTTGCAAACGTCAGGGCTTCGGCGCAGCGCCCTCCCCTCGGAACCAAGGCCACGCCCAGAGCTGCTTTCACTTGAGCCAGCCCAGGGCACCTCGAAGTGTTTCCTAGAATCGCTTTTAAACCGGGGCCGAAATGACCTCGGGGACAGACGGGCCGGGTCTGAGCCCCCGGGCGCTATTCGCAGCCCCAGGGTCGGCCCGGCTCTGCCCGACGCTTCCTTCCCAACGCCGAGTCAGCCGCTTGCCGCGTCTTTGTTTTTTCCCAACTGTACAATGAGATGCCATCTGAGGAGGCTTGTCAGCCCTGCGGGACCCAGGCGGGACTGCGGGGCCAGCTGAGTGCCCACGCCCCAACGTGGGGAGCGGAGCAGGGGTGTCGGGGCAGCGGGGAACCTGCTGCGCTGTTACTCACTGCCCTGGACTTTCCCTTATCATTCTGTTTTATTTTGTGCCTTTAAAATCGTTATCTGAGGAGTACAGACCGAGACGTACAAAGAGAGCCTTTGCCTCAGTCGCCCTCCACCGTTTTCCTTTCTGATGGGTTCTCTCAAGGCAGGTTCCGAAGCTGCAGTCCCGTCGAACCTTAGCTGAGCTCTAGGGAATGCTCTGTACGTAGCGGGTGCCTGGATCACAAGAAGTCAGCCGGTCAGTAAGCATTTATTAAATGCCTACTGTATGCCAGGCAGTGTGCTAAGTAAGCCCTGGGGATCCAGAGGAAAGGAAGGCGCCTCTGCTCTGAGGAGAGCACCTGCAAAGAGCCTAACAGACGCTAAAAGGAGGAGGAGATGGAGGCTTGGCCACTTCCTTGGGATGGAAACTCCCCAATGTAAATGCCACCCTGCCAGACCTAGTGCCTCGTGTACCTAGCCTTAAGGGAGTGACTAGCTTAAGGGATCTTGACAGCGGGCAAGTCAGAGGCATGATCTGAACCCAGGTCTTTCTGACTCAGAAGGCCAGGTTGCCTCTCTGTTCTTTCTCTATGATTTCATTAGAGCAGGGGATACCCAATGAGCTGATCAAAGTCGATCTACCAAAGCTGATGCCCCCATCTTGTGTCTTGGAGCATGGAAAAGTTTAGAGACTTGCCCGAAATTACACGGATCGCATGTGTACACCGAAGGCAGATCATATGTGTATGTCCAACAAAGATCATGCATGCATGCCCAAGGCAGATCATATGTGTATGCCCAAGGTGGATCATGTGTATGTGACTAAGGCAGATTGTATTGTACACCTAAGGCAGATCATGTATGTGTGCCAAGGTGGGATCATAGGTGTACATACAAGGCAGATCTTGTGTATGTTCGAGGAGGATCATATGTATACTCCAAGGCAGATCATATGTATATGCCTAAAGAGGATCATATGTGTACATACAAGGCAGACCATGTATGCATGTCCAAAGCGGATCACGTGTGCATGTCCAAGGCAGATCATGTGTATATGCCTAAAGCGGATAGCATGTGTACGCCCAAGGTGGGCTGTCTTGGCGTGGTTTGTTTCCTTGGAGGCCAGACCTAGGCACGAAAGCAGTCAGCTCTCTTCGTGTGTTATTGCTTGATTCACATCCATGAAAGCACTCGTCAGCCTACTTTCTATGTCCAAGGCGTGTCCAAGGCCCTGGAGCCTCGTCGTCTGTCCCCTCTCTGCCTCCTCCCCTCCTCACTCAGATTGGGCCTGTCATCTGTCCCATTTCTTTAGCACCTTGAGCTCCCATTCCAAGGTAACAGCTAGTTAATCTGATCATTTATCCATGTTAATATGTTAATGGCCCTAATGGGCTAATGAGCTCACTTCTCATCCTGGGTAGCATCTGTTTTTAATAACAGATCTTCGGAAGGGACTTTGAAAGTGGAATGTGGGGGTGATGTGGGGGCTGCTGAGAGAGCTACCCTGAGCAGGGGTAGGGGGAGGGCCTTGTGTTGCCTCTCAGTTGGGTCCTTGTTGTTGTTCAGTTGTGCTCCATTTGGGGGTTTCCCTGAGAGAGATATTGGAGTGGTTGGCCATTTCCTTCTCCAGCTCATTTTACAGGAGACTGAGGAAAACAGGGTTCAGTGACTTGCCCCGGGTCATGCAGCTAGTAAGTGTCTGAGGCCAGATTTGAACTCAGGAAGATGAGTCCTCCTGACTCCAAGCCTGGCACTCTATTCACTGCACCACTTAGCTGCCCTTAGCCCTCTCTGTGTTCAGAATCCGGTGCTGTGGGCCAGACTGAGTAAGCTGGGCTTTACTCAGAGGAAACATTCTCTAAGCAGGTGCTCAGGGACCTGAGTGGCCACCCTCTGTTCTCTGGGGATCATGAGGAAGCCCAGATAGGATTGTCAGTAGCCCACATTCTATTAATACACGTAAATCTAGACATCTTCAAAAGCCCTTCAGATGTTTCCATGTCTCTCATTCTGTACTCAGCTTTGCCTCTTGATAACAAATCACTGTGACTTAACTTGTCTTGTAGTCATAAAAAAGTTTATTTAACAGACAGAAGTTGGTCCCTTTCTTCCTGGTGCCCTAAGGCAAAGGAGGGGTAGCTGGGTGGTATCTGGAGACTAAAGGTGAAAGGTCTTCCAATAACCAAAGGGCAGGCAGCCGAGAGGGGGATTAATTCTACTCTGAGCAGAACTGGGTATGAAGGATGCAAGTGGTGGAGACACCCAAACCCCCGGTGAAAGGGTCAGAAGGCTGATGATCAGGGCTCTGCAGAAATGGAGGGGGTAGCCTCTGGGAGGAAGAATGGGGGAAAGCTGAGGCCGCCTGACCACCACTCAGGAATGATGTCTATCAAGGGATTCTGGTCTAGGGATGGCTTGGCCTAGATCAAGGGTCAGCAGACTGATGTTGGCACACAAGTCCTGGCCTTTTTTGAATGCCTGAGACCTAAGAATGGTTTCTACATTTTAAAATAAAGTTGTGTTATATTTAAGAATGTAAAAACTGTTCCTCACTTGCTGGCCAACTTTGGCCTTCATGCTGACCTCTGGACTGGAGTGTAGGATCTTGCAAGAAAGTCAACAATAAGAAGCATTTATTAAGTGCCTGCTATGTGCTGGTCCTTTGTAATCACTGAGGATACAGAGAGGCAAAAGCTGGTCCCTGATCTCAAGGCTCCCAGGGTCTCATGGGCGAGACACCCCACAAACCACCGTGTACAAACCACAGACAGGTTAAATTAGAGAGAATTTCTGAACGAAGGCATTATCATCAGGAGGATCGGGAGGACTTCTTGCAGGTGGTGGGATTCTAGCTGGAGGAAGCCATGGAAGGCAGGAGGCAGACGAGGAGGGAGAGTTCCAGGCATGGGGGCAGCCAGGGAGAATGCCCACAGTTTGTAGCTGGAATGCCTTGTTCCAGGAACAGCCAGGGACCAGGGTCACTGGATCAGTGATACATGGGGGATGGGGTATAAGAAGATTGGAAAGGGAGGAGGGGGCAGGTGAGGAAGGGCTTTGGGTGCCAAACAGAGCATTAGGTATTTGATTCCTGAAGCCACTGGAGTTTCTTGAGGAGGGGCTGACATGATCAGACCTGAACTTTAGGGAAATCACTTTGGTGGCTGAATGGAGGATGGCCTGGAGTGGGGAGGGACTAGAGGTGGGCACCCCCCAGCAGCTACTGCAATGGTTCAGGCTGAGGGGATGAGGGCCCCCACCAGTGGGGAACCAGAGGGGTGGCAGAGACAGAGGAGAGAAGGAGGGGATTCAGGCGACTTTGGGAAAGTAGAACCTAAATGTCAAAAATGCCAGACGTGGAACTCCCAGTTTTGCACCTACCA